TTCCTTCGATTTTAATAGTAAAAATTGAAATGTTTCACATAGCTACAGCAGTAGACATGTCGATCCCGTGAAATTACGGATGACTGATACGTTTGTTCAAAAACAAATACAATACTAATACTAGCAGGATAAAAATAATAGAGCTTCTATATATTCGTAACAGCAATATTAATACTTATTTTAATTCGTTTTTTTATTCGAATAAACTTTCTATGTAATTTGAATACTCAAATTCATAGTAATTCGAACAATCCTTATTCTAACCATTAAATAGTAATAAAAGATATCATAATAACAATAGTAATAATAATTATAGTGATAATAACGATAATAGTGGTAATAATAGTACCGGCAAGCTTAGTACCACCCAAAAACTTTTTTCATTTCGACTTTTAATTCGATTTTTGACCTCTCAGGTCGAAATGTTTCGACTTTTGGGTTGTAATTTCGACTTCATGTATAATCTGATAACCTTACATAATCAATTCAACTCCAATGTTGAACATTGGCGATATCCATCTTTTTACATCATTCATTTTAAAAGACTTTGTTGAGAGAATTAATTTGTGAACGCACCTAATAAAATAACATTTTTACTATTATTACTATTCATTATTATCATTATATATCACCCAACATCAATATAAATTTATATATTATATAAAAGGTTATCACGATGACATTTTTATGATGTTGCTTTTTCTTACTCCTTACTTGCACTTGAAGAAGTTCAAGCGCAAAAAAACAATTTGAAATATATTACAAATAATGATTGGTTGACCTTTACGAGCCGATACTTGTTCAAGAGCACTTTGTACTTTCTAATAATCATTAAAATAAATTGTTAAATAATAATGTGATTTTATTAAATGTTTGTTTTATAAATATAGATATACTTACTGGATACAATGAATCTTTTGTCATGATAAGAATAACTGGCATATTCTCATCAATAAGTGCTAAAGGACCATGTTTCAATTCACCGGCCAAAATACCTTCAGAATGCATATAAGAAACTTCTTTAATCTTCAAGGCACCTTCAAGACATGTAGCATGTTGATAACCACGACCCATGATTAAAAGACTTTTTTCCTTGTATAAAACTTCTTTTGCAAGTCGTTCTAATCCTTTATCAAGGTTAAGTACTTCTCTGATATGTTGTGGTAATTTGCTAAGATCATCAATGATATCTTTGCGTCTTTGTGTCATTGATGATCTGTCCTCACTCAATTGGATGGCCATCATGACCAATGAAATATATTGGGATGTATAAGCCTAAAAAAAAAAATAAGATTATTGTTTTATCAAGCATGAATTTTTTTTAATGGAATAAGAAAACACGCAACACCAATAATAATGGAGATTTTTAAATTATTTAATTACTTTTGTAGAAGCAACACCGATTTCAGGACCTGCATTGATATGAACACCACAATGTGTTTCGCGTGAAATGGTAGAGCCAACAGTGTTTGTAATACCTAAGCATAAAGCTCCACGTTCAAGACAATACCTTAATGCAGGAATTCTGTGAGCAGTTTCACCGGACTGTGAAACAAATACACAAACATCGTCTCTAAAGATTGGAGTTTTCCTATCCAAGAAATCACTGGCCAATTCCACAGAAATAGGAATTTCAGTTAATTCTTCAAAAATTGCACGTGTCTAGTTATTATCATATAATAATTTTTTTAAAGAAACAAACAAACACATGGTTAATAATGATTATTATGTATCTAATAAACTATATGCATATTGTCATAAAAAAAAAAAACACAAAAACAAATATATTATAGGTAGATAGATATATAGCACCTACAGCCACACAAGAGTGATAACTTGTACCACATGCACAGAAAACTATACGTCTACAACGTCTAATAGTTGCTAGATAGGATTTAAGACCACCAAGCGTCACCTCATGCTTATCAAAGTTAACACGACCACGCATAGTATTCACTACAGATTCAGGTTGTTCAAAAATTTCCTTTTGCATAAAATGATCAAAGGATCCTTTCATAATCTCTGCAAGTTCAATCTCCAAAGTTTGAATGGAACGAACGGCTGATATTCCATCATCGCTTCTTAAACGATGAATATGTAATTCTATTCATCATCATCATCATCATCATCATCATCATTGTTATTTTTATTATTATTGATGAAATAAATAATTGAAAAGATAAAAATAAAAATTTAATTTATATCATACTAGTATTTTATACAACAATAGAAATATTATTTTACCTCCTTCACTCATATGTCCTATATCATCATCTTCTAAATAAAGAACTCTTTTTGTATGCTCAACAATTGCAGAAGGATCAGATGCAAGAAAATATTCAATGGGTTGAGGGAAACCATCTTCACTAAGAAAAGCACGTGATTGACTACGTCTGAGTTTAGGATGACCATCAGTTGGAGCTGTTAATAAATTGGTATCAACAACTTTGTCATCTATTAGTTTTATGCAAAATAATTAGTGATGAATATATATATATATATATAATACGTGTAATTAATAATAATGGACAATAATAATTAATTGATTAATCAATAATGATTAATACCTGTTCCAAATTCAACGTCAACAAAATCAACTTTTAATTTTTTTTCCGTTTTTACACCAATCAAAAGAGGAGACCCACGGCGTGTTGCAACTATTTCATTTGGAAAATGAACACTTTTAAAGATTAAAGCGAATGCTCCTTCCTACATAAATATAAATTTATTCCATAAATAATAATAAATAAAAAAGTTTTTTTCACCCCAAAAATAAACAAGAATGATGATAATGATGATAAATACCAATTCTTTAATTACACCTTTAACAAGAGAAGTAAAACTTAAATTTTGATTAGCCTTTTGAGAATCATATAAATATTTAGCGAGTTTTGCAACAGCTTCAGTGTCAGTTTCAGATTCAAACTTGTAACCTTTTTTTTCAAGAACTAATTTAAGTTCTTTGTAATTTGTAATGATACCATTATGAACTACGGTGAATTCACCCTTTACATCAGATCTGTGAGGATGAGAGTTTGTTGTAGAGGGTTCACCGTGAGTAGCCCAACGAGTATGAGCCATACCACAATGATTTACAAATTGTTTTTCAAAATCAACTTGTTGCTCTGAAGCAAATTTTTTTAAAGCACCAACTTTTCCAACTTGTTTATACACTAAGACTTCGTTAGGATCATCGGCATCTACTGCTAGTCCTGCTGAGTCATACCCACGATACTCCAGACGAGCCAAGCCACTGATAAGTGTATCAATTATTTCTTTTCTGTCTTTTGCTAATAAATAATTGGAATATGCGAATATACCACACATTTTGATCTAAATGATTTAAATTTTGAAGTAATAAATGTTTTTTTTTTATTTTGTGTATTATATTAATAGATATTAATATTAATATAGACAAGTGAGAATGAGATCAAAACTTGGCAAATTTAGTATTGGTTCGCATTACATCACATTTTGTACTACCATTAATAATGTCCGAGTTTATCCGTTAATTATTATCTTTTTGCTTATAATCGGCTTGTGTCTTCACTTCTTTCCTTCAATTGATTAATAAATTCCCTATAGCTTTCCTTATCTTTTGCTTTTTAATTTGTTCACTCGGCTTTCTTCTTATCAAGTATTATCTCGCTAATTCAATGATCCTTTTTGAGTTTTAATCTCTTGTTTAAATTTGTCATTTGTAAGTTTGATAATCACTTTCTTTCGTAATATAAAAAGATATGGAACAATTGTTTAATAAAGTGCTAATTGTACTAATGGTCATTTTAACTGAAAAGCGTTTGTTAATTGAAACTACTGAAAAAAAATAAATAATCCAATGAAAAATATTTTAATAAAAATAAACCAAACAACCAATCCGACGACCATCACCATTTATACCAATATATTTCAAATTGTTTTTTTGCGCTTGAACTTCTTCAAGTGCAAGTAAGGAGTAAGAAAAAGCAACATCATAAAAATGTCATCGTGATAACCTTTTATATAATATATAAATTTATATTGATGTTGGGTGATATATAATGATAATAATGAATAGTAATAATAGTAAAAATGTTATTTTATTAGGTGCGTTCACAAATTAATTCTCTCAACAAAGTCTTTTAAAATGAATGATGTAAAAAGATGGATATCGCCAATGTTCAACATTGGAGTTGAATTGATTATGTAAGGTTATCAGATTATACATGAAGTCGAAATTACAACCCAAAAGTCGAAACATTTCGACCTGAGAGGTCAAAAATCGAATTAAAAGTCGAAATGAAAAAAGTTTTTGGGTGGTACTAAGCTTGCCGGTACTATTATTACCACTATTATCGTTATTATCACTATAATTATTATTACTATTGTTATTATGATATCTTTTATTACTATTTAATGGTTAGAATAAGGATTGTTCGAATTACTATGAATTTGAGTATTCAAATTACATAGAAAGTTTATTCGAATAAAAAAACGAATTAAAATAAGTATTAATATTGCTGTTACGAATATATAGAAGCTCTATTATTTTTATCCTGCTAGTATTAGTATTGTATTTGTTTTTGAACAAACGTATCAGTCATCCGTAATTTCACGGGATCGACATGTCTACTGCTGTAGCTATGTGAAACATTTCAATTTTTACTATTAAAATCGAAGGAAATTTTCATTTGCTACTAGTAAAATCACATGACTTTTCTAAACAAGGAGTGTGATTCTTTGTACACACGTTGTTTGAGATTTAATTTATTACCTCGCAAAAGTTCGGCTATAGTTTATTAAGAAAACGGAAAAGAATGGTCTGTTCAAAGTTATACCTTCAGTTCTTAATCATGTTACAACAAATTATTTTGAACTTGTAATTTCAATAAAACATAAACAAGAAGCCACCATTTGGTTT